TATATACCTTAGTCACCTAGACTAGGGCAGCCATACATACGTGTGACACAACCTTCATGCAAGATGAAGGAGAATGACATGATTATCACGTTCACGGTTCATGCTTAATCTTGTTGCAAGCATATATGGTTTAGAGAATATATATATATACCTTAGTCACCTAGACTAGGGCAGCCATACATACGTGTGACACAACCTTCATGCAAGATGAAGGAGAATGACATGATTATCACGTTCACGGTTCATGCTTAATCTTGTTGCAAGCATATATGGTTTAGAGAACAGAAAATTAATAAAGGTGGCAGACAAGGCGAAGAGAGTACTATGCATAAGGTGTCGAGGCAAGCACGGTTTTTGTTTGATATGTCGATATATATGATGTCATAGTGTGAGATCTTTATTTAAACAATTTTTTTCTTTTTTTTTTTCACACCAAATAAAATAGAAGTTCAACAAGAAGCTGGTCATATATTTCAGCTGAACAAAGATATATAAAATGTTATAATTACAGGCGTGAAATTGAAAGATATTTTAGGATTTTTTTTTAATAAATAAAAGATTGTGTTTATGGCATGAATGCAAACTTGGAAGAGAAACTCCTATGACCCACTCTGAGTTGGTAACTTAGGGACATGACTTTAAGCCATGATGTTGATAGTTTTTCCAATAACTACTCCGCAAATTAATCAATTCTGTAATTAGTTCCCTTTTGAAGTCAGACATATATATTACTTTCTAGCTTTGAGGGTCACCAGAAGCCAGAAGGGTCTTGCTTTTTTGACTCGGTGAATTTAAACAAACTTTAACCTACGATTATTTCTCAATTTATATTGTTCATAACCAAATTGCATGAGTATTGATAGGCACAGTATTAAGGAGCAGGTGTTTGGGAACCTTTTGAAAAAAAGAGATAAATATCCCTTACGGTGTATATGAGTCTACATTTTAACTATTTTTCTTGATTAATATCATTTTTAATTAAATAATTATATTAATCAAAAGAGTATTAATCAACAATAATGAGTAAAAATCTATACTCAATACATTTTAAGGATAAGTCGAACAATTTTTTTCTTTTTTTTAGGCCTATTTTGAACCCAAAACTACTCTCTTTTTCGGATTCAATCCCCCTTAGTAGTAATGGAAAAGAAAAGCTACTTTTTTGTGGATTCCACTTTGTATGTATATTGATTCCAGAGAAAAAAATGCAGTGAAGTTACTTTCAACTGATTATCTAGTCCAAGATTCTTCAGCATAAAGTTGATGCCCTCACTAGGCGATTTTTGTTTTTTTTTTGTTTTTTGTTTTTCCCTTTTTGAGTACTTCTCCATGTTTCATTAATTATCCCATCATTTGCCATCACTATACTTTTAACTATCTACTTGCAAAGACCACCCGAATGTTAAAAAGAATGTTAACAAGTTCACATGTACAAACAGATATTTATACATGCAATCCTATTAATAGAGAGAGAGAGAGAGGGGGGAGTCAATCAATTAACGACATGTCGTTTTTTAGAGGAAGCATAACATGTCGTTTTCATATTATTGATTTTGCTATTATGGAAGCTACATAAACTTAAATTAAAGTTTGGTAAAAAACAAGGAAATGGACCACCCAATTATGGAAATGGTATTAATATCACAATTCGCACAGTTGTTAGTTTAACTCAATAATTAAACAAAAAAAAAAAAAAAAAAAAAAAGCGGTTCGTAAGACTTATCCCATTGACATATTTAATCCCACGGCCTATGGGCAACCAAATTAAACCATAAACCAGTTTCTTCCTTCCACATCCCTCCCCCTAAAAAAAACCAGCCCAACTTTCTTCCACGACCCAAGTGAAAATCTTTTATCAGTTTTTCACTTTTCTATTGTAGTTGGAGTTGGAATTGTCCAACCAGCATTAACCCTCTCTCTCTCTCTCTCTCTCTCTCCAAAGTTTTTATGTGATGTCAGACTGTACGTTCGAGTCTTGCACAGTGGAGACGAGCGATGGAGTGAAGCTCCACACAAAGGTCTTCAAACCAAAAGGGGAGATCAAGGACGAGCTTGTGGTGGTTCTGGTCCATCCATTCTCAATATTGGGCGGTTGTCAAGCCCTTCTCAGGGGAATAGCAAGTGGGTTGGCCGAGAAAGGTCTGAGGGCTGTGACCTTCGACATGAGAGGCGCTGGGAGGTCCACTGGGAGGGCTTCTCTGACCGGATTTGGGGAAATCAGGGATGTTCTTGCTGTCTGCAAGTGGGTTTCCGAGAATCTCTCTGTCAACAGGATTTTGTTGGTGGGTTCTTCCGCAGGTAATCAATCTCTCTCTCGGTGATTTTAGTCTTTCATGGATGCATGTTTATGGCAGTGAAACCGGTTTTTGCTCCCGGGTATTGCTTTGTTAATTGGTTTTGGAAGATGATTTTGTGGATCTGTGAATTTGGTGCTGGTTTATGGCTTGATCAGGGGTTTTCTATGAGTTTTGATAAGTTCTATGCTATTTTTTTTTTCTGTTTTTTTCGGTGGGAAGGAATTGCTTTGGATATTGGGAAAATACACCATGTTTCAGATCAGGAAAGACAGAAAATATGTATAAATTTTAATTTGTTTAAGTAGGCGTGGCCAAGATTGGTTTTTTATTGGTTTTCTTTTGCTATCTCTTGTGCCATATTTATGACTTTGATCATGTAAGTTTTCAAGTTTAAGCTTGTTGGTGATACGAGTGTCCTTGATTTATCCAAAAGTTTGGATTTTTAGACGTCCTCAAAAAGAAATTTGGATTTTTAATACAATCTGTAAATTGATGGTATTCTGAGTGTTAAAAAGAAGGATTCAGTGGCAAAATATTTTTTCATGCATTCTGTGCTTGTTTGAAGGATTTATTTGGTTAGTAGGAAATTAGATTTTAGGTTTATTTTTCACCGATGATTATTAATTTATTACAACACAGGTTAATATATGATCTTCGGATTCTTAACTTGATATCAAAATTGAAGTTCCTTTTTGCTTGAAGAAATCCACACTACGCCTCTTGATTCTAATTTTGTGATCTTCGCATTAGAAACATCCCTTTTGTTGTCTGTACTCATCATAGATTGAGATTAATCTTCACGATTTTGTCGTGAAGAAAATTAATTAACATCATCTTTACCCCCAATTTTCGATGCAGGTGCGCCAATCGCAGGCTCAGCAGTTCATCAAATAGAACAAGTTGTGGGGTATGTAAGTCTGGGATACCCTTTTGGCATGATGGCCTCAATTCTATTTGGAAGACATCACAAAGCCATTCTTCAGTCCCCAAAACCAAAGCTCTTTGTGATGGGGACTAAGGACGGGTTCACGAGCGTAAAGCAGTTGAACAACAAAATGAGTTCGGCAGTGGGGCGCGTCGAAACGTACCTGATAGAAGGGGTGAGTCACTTCCAAATGGAAGGCCCGGAATATGATGCTCAGATGGTGAATCGCATCCTTCAGTTTGTTGAATCCTTGTAGGATTATCAGCCATTTTATAGAACTTGTGCTTGGACATATTGCCTTCAAATTGTCTTCTTAGCCCGTGCTTTGTGTGTACATGCTAACTATTTATGGTGTGTAATCTGCAGGAATTTGGAGTCTTGTATGCTTTCTTCCTCTAATATGCCATCACAGTGAAAATATTAAGCAGCTATCCGAGAGAGTTATCATATAGCCAAATGATATATAATTACATATGGCGATAGAGGGAGAAACAAGCGGCCATAATTAGAACAATCTTTACATAAACCAAGTGTCGTTTGTTACAAAAATTTTTTTACACGAAACATTCTCCCTGCTTTTAAGTTAAAACTTACAATGAAATAAAGCCTACTCCTAGCAAATGAAATACAACAGAAGGGTCATCAACCTAGTTGAGTCACTAAATTAGCATATGGCACACTACAAATACATATGTAATTGGGCGCTACGAACATCCCAAGGCCCCAAGTGTTACACGTCATCACCGTCGTAACGCTGATCATCCGGTACAAGTCTTCCATCCCTAGCCATTTTATCACCATTTGGACCTTCAACTGGTCGTCCTTCGCCCATCTCATCAAACTGCCGTTTCCTCCATCCTCGTTCATGGTCCATTGATTGCCCTTGAGAGAATGGATGATCTCCCTCATCTGCTTCTAAGGCAAAACGAATAAATTAAACGAGAAAAAGAAGGATGTGTATTTGTCATCCACAAAATTTTCTAGACATATTGTTCCTTAAAAGACATACATCCAATGTAATATAAATCTACAATTCCAATGTCACAGGAAGTAGGCACCCTTATCTCATGTCAATCGTAATAAGGTGATAAAGATTGGCAGGTGGTATAATTTATGTAACAATGTTTACCATAAAAGAAATGGTCAATGTGTTCATACCCGACAGATTTGATATTAACATGGATCAAGGTCAGCATGATTGGTAACTAAACGACACAATTGGGAGCCCTTACTCTAAAGAAGAAAAAAAAAAAGGAAGACGTTGATTAAAAATTTGTACAGAACCAGGTCAATCTGACTATCCGAGAATAAGATAATAAGATACAACAAAGGGTAGGATAGCTTCATCGACTTTTTATCTAGATAATTATATGTAATTTAGTTATTACCACTTTCACCGTCAGATGCATCTTCAAGCTTCGCAATTGCATCGACCAAAGCTTGTTCATGGTCCTGCGATTAGGACCAATGTCACAAAATAATGTAAAGAAAGCACTTAGTGCACAAAGAAAAGCAAAGGGTAAAAGTTCTTGGTTCTTACTTTCAGCACTTTTTTTGCCTTCTCAATTTCCATAGGGTCAGGATGGCTAGCCCCAAAAACTTTTTCAACCTGTTTAAGTTCATGCATACAGAGGGAAAAAAAAGGTCATCAAGAGAGCAGCTAATTAGGAAACATACTTTGAAATAAAATTAAGAGAGAGATTTGTTTTCTTATACCTCCTTAATCAACGTGTCCGTGTGAAGTATTTCTATATCACCCATACCCTTCTTCCCAATGCCATTCTGTTGTAAAGGGAAATCTTTCTTTGATTGACCCTTTGTGGTCCCTCTACCCCTTCCAGCGCCAGGAACTGCACCACCACGTGTCATGGATTTCTTATTCCCTCGGCCGGGTCCAGGGCGGCCACCTTTACGAGAAATCCCAGGATCTTCACCTTCCCACCTAATATCTTCAGGAGATATCTGCAATAAGAAGGTTCAAAGTCATTAGCAAAAGTACCTCACAATGCAACAGATAGAACTTTTGAAATTTGATTTTATTATCTCAGGTAAACAGTTCAACAGACAAACTATATAAGAAGCTTACGCACGACATGCCCGTGTATTAGCAACTTTTGCCGAGTGGTAGGTGCCATCAGTACGTACATGGACACAATTAGTTATTAATCCGTACATATTTACCTAATTCCGAGTCTAGAATGGTGCAATGGTTCAAGTTGTGTAAAAATGAAGGTACTACGATGCAAGTAATCCATAATTATTATATTATTAATATATTAATTTTTATTTGCTAAATAATTATTAATTATTAATTACTTTATATATTAATTTAAGATTATTAATTACGGTCCTTTTAACTACCCACAGCAATTCAACCTCACAATTTACCAAACGCTATAACAACACTTATATAATTACAGTTTACTAAACACTCAGCTGCTTTTTGTAACAGCTGCTTTTTGTAACAGCTGCTTTTTCCTTCAGCACAAAATATACAGCACTACCAAATTGGCCCATAAAGGTCAGGTAAAAAAAGTCTTAAATATAAAGGTTGAATAAATAAGAGATTTTCATGCAAAGCCGAATATTCACAGCCACATAAATTTCATTCATCGAATTAATGAATTATGGACTAACAAACGCCTATTGACACCATGATGCTGGTCCAACCAAGTCCACGTTCAAAGTTAAGAAAAATGTATTTAGTACCGAGTTGTCAAACTGTTGCACCCAAAATAAATTCGTAAAAGTCGATCACAAAAGTAAATGAACTCTTTTCATTAAAGTCATTTAAGAGTCTCACAGTAGTAGCAGTCATTTATTATTAAAAAGAAATTCAAGCCCGAAAGGCATTGGGGGATCAAGGGTCTTCGTAATCTATTCAAAAATAAATAAAAACAAACAAACAAAAGCAAAAGAAAATGTTCTGTTTTACCTCTTTGAGATTAACCCATTCCCATGTCTCATCTGCTGTATTAATATCATAAACCAGAGCATGTCGACCCTACCAATACAATGGGAATAGCAAGATCAAAAGAAGGCCGGAATTTATTTATGTACAAGATTTGGCTATATATATATAAAAAAATAGGTATTACCTCAAGAGCGTTGTAGTCAGTTATAACGGCCTCGTAGAAGTGGTTGTCTTCAGGCCACCTTGTCCAAACTTTTCTTCCTATTAACGGATCAAAAGCTGCTCCCTCAGCAGCTTCAGTTGTTCCAAAGGCACCTGTGGAACCCCGATTAGTCGCTTGGGCCCTTCCAGTGACACCTGTAGAAGGGTACTGCATGGACTACATAGCGGATGCAGCAGGCAGTATAATCCATTAACAGAGATGGAAAAAAAAAAAAAAAAAACCCAAAAAGTTCATTATTTCACCATGTTTGTCAATATCCAAAAACTCTTAGAACATACTGATTTTGGCTTTTTGGTTCGAGCTCCAGGAGGAGGACCTCGTCTTAAAGCTGATGAAGACGGCTGCATAGAGGGAGGCAGTGCAGGTGGCGGAGCTCCAAGAGACAATGAAGCTACAGACTGGGACGTTTTCTGTTTTTTGCGCGATGCAGAAACAGTTGGACTAGGTATGGGGTCGTGAACAGGTTGAGGAGCACTACCCATGCCTGGTTGAAGCCCACTTGCCTTTCTCCATTCCCTACATCATAATTTATTACACTTTCTGTGAAAACGTGAAACTGACCAAAAGTAAATTATGTTTTTCATGAACTTGATCAGCACAACATGTCATGATGTAATCAGACCTTATTCTCCGGATCATATCATCGGCATTAACCCTGGACAGAAGCTCCCGGTGTTCCTCATCAGATACTCTTAACTCCTTTCTTAATTCCGTAATTAAGCTCTCCTTGTCCTGAAAATACATATTATGAATGAACATGATTACTTTATGAATGAACATGATTACTTTATACTTTTTCTTCACATGGACAGAAAAAAAGAAAGAAAACGAAAAATCAAATAGCTACCCAAGTGATAGCATCAGATTGAGCTTTAAAGGCTCGAAGAACTGAACAGTATGCTTCTTGCTCAATGTGGTGAATCTGGGTTTCCATGTCACCATGGATCCTAGGCATCTGAGCAGAACCAACTGGTGCAGATCTTCCATTTCCAGAAGCACGACCTCCTCGCTGGAATCTATTTTGATGAGAAGGGGGAAGATCATCGTCTGTACCTGCAATTTATTCAAAAAAGAAGAAACAACATTTGAATTTTTATGTGCAGGTTCAAAGTTTGTAGGCTTATCAAGTAAGCAATCCCACATCATTCAATTAACAAATTATTGGCTCTACCAAGCAGCTACAGCAATGCCATCATATTCATATAAAAACATGCAAAGCGGTTCGTGGAGGTTAAGACACACGCACCATGATTGCAAGAAAAACGGAACAGGGGACATGATGTACATACAAACAAGTGACTGGGAACTACTCCATCCGAGTTGTCATCCAGTGCCTTAACCTTCTCAAGTAAATAAAGTTACCTCTCACTTCTCACTTAATGTAACATTTAAGGACTCCAGATGAAGCACCAAATACAAGTTACATCTAAAAATTATATTAAGCTGAAGGATACTTAAACTAGTGTCTATATTAAATGCCAACTATTAATACTGTCCAACATCTGAATTTATGACTATCTTAGCCAGCCATTCATGTCAAACTAGTCTAATCTAACATTAACTATAACTCAATAAAGCTCACAGTAAGTGGCAGTAGCAAGAGAAATATGCTTGGAAATTGGAAGAAATCACAACATTTTCTTACTACGCAGAGCTAATCACTCTTTTCTACACAATCTCTCTTCAAATCCTTCTACTGTCAACTTGAAATCAATAGATGAAACGAGAAGAAACTACAATAATTACTATGTAGAATAAACTCTGACCAACTTGAACTACTGAGAATTGCTCAAAAGAAAATGTTTTTGTTTCTTCAAGTAAAAAGTGGTCTTCAAGAACACCATCAAGTCGATCCAAGGTGATAGCCATGAAAATCCTAAGGTTAAAGTAACCATAAAACGCACAGAACTCGCCAAAACTTAACCTAATCTCCACACTATGCTCCATAAAGTCCATCAAAAGAAAGATCTTTACTTTCAAAACCAGAAAGATTTAGCAATAAATGGGACCAATCAAGAGTAAATTCTAGGCAACAACGTCAAAATCAGTAATTGCTCAACAAAGAAGGCACGATTTAGTACGAGCTAGAAGTTCATCAAAATTCAGCGGAAAAATCCCTTACAGAAAACGAACACACAAAAAGCATATTCGAACAGAATCTTCTCAGTTAGCTCACCACTGCTATCAGAGAGCCCGTAGTCCATTGTAACTTCTCAAAGACCAAAGCTTTAACTAAAGCCCCAGCAAAGCGACGTCGGAGAAGCTCACGGAGAGCGAAAATGGCGTCAATTTCTTCGGGAACTCGAGCTGTTGAAACCTAGTTCGGGTCGAAAATGGTCAAATCACAGAAATTGGCTACAATTCGAGGCATGAATCGGAACTGGAACCTAAGACAAGTTGAATTCGAAGCGAGAAAATTTGAGGCGCAGAGAAGACGGTCGATCGGTGAAGGAGAGCGAATTCGAGGTGGGAGTGTTTTCTTCGAATTGTGGGGCGAAATTGGAAATTTGAGGAGTTTGGGGGCACAACATTTGTTATTTTATTTCTATTTTAATTTATTTATTTTCTGTATTTGGTAATTAGGGCAAAGGGATTGGAGAGTGGATCTGTACGAACAAGAACATTGATGGAGGTGTGGATTCGGCGAGGAAAGGCGGACTTGAAACGACTTTATGATGCATTTTCTTTATCAGTTAATAACTCTTTTGAGTTCCGTGCAGGCCATTGGCTGACCGTTTCTGAAACGCGTTTTTTTGGCTGTTAAAATGCGTTTCTGGTCTGGATCAAATCCTCTTCACTTTTTGTTTTGTCATTTGCAGGTGTAGTTCTTTTTAAACACGATCAGCGCTCTCTAATCTTTGATTAGTTAGAGTTTAGTGTCTCATCTCTTTACATGCATCTTTTAAAATTACAATCTCTCAAAGCCCTTTTTTTTTTTTTCTCTTTTTTTTTTCTGAATAAATAAACGCGAGTGGATATTTCAACTTGACCTTAGAACATTACGCAATTTTGTGAATGAAATCTAAAAATTTCCTACACGATTAAAAAATAGCAAGCCATTCTCTGAAATTGTTAACTGTCAAAATAAAATCTCAATGAAAAGCATTTCTAGTGTTTTTTTTTTTTATTTTTATAATTTTTTTTAGGCAGCTTCTTTAGCTAACAAAACATGGTGCCCAAAATACGTTTAGGATGTAATATAATATCTTTATAAAAATTTATTAGTTTTTATCTATTTTAATGTAATGAAATATGAGATAAACGATGCCAATAAAATTTCTCAAAATACATTAAAAGATTATTATTAGCCTTTTTGTTTTTTTCTCTTAAGGAAAAGAAGTCATGAAATGGGATGAATAATCTCATGGCAGGCATTATTGTTACGTATGCTAGTCAGAAAACAGCAGAAGAAACACAAACTACTCAAAACTCAAAAGTCCTGTTTAGCCAAAGACAAAACGTAGCCTTAATCAAATAGCGGTTATTTTCTTTCCTACAATAGTCAAACAAACAAAACAGAAAATAAAAAAAATAAATATTTTCTTTCCTACAATAGTCAAACAAACAAAACAGAAAATAAAAAAAAATAAAAAAAAAAAGAAAAAGAAAAAATTAACGCAAATGCTTTCCCATTTTTCATCCAAGGCTTCCTCATTCCCACTCCCTTCTCTCTCTCACCTCTCTCGCTCCGCCGCCTCCCTCCGCCACCGCCACTCCTCTCCGAAATTCCCATTTTACCCCTCCATCCCCACCAAATTTCCCCGCCTGCCACTCGCATGCCACGCTAGCTCCGGCGGTGTTTCCATGGACTCTCCCTCTCCCTCTCCCTCGCCGGAAACCGCCGCCGCCGTCGACTCCGTCGCGCGCGATTTGCAGAACCAGAGCCTACGCGGCGGCGAAGATCAGCGAGACGATGGTTTTGGTAACGGCGCGAAGAGAGCTAGGTTGAAGCTCGAGGATCTGAATTGGGATCACTCCTTTGTCCGTGAACTGCCTGGCGATCCCAGGACCGATACGATGCCGCGAGAGGTTTGATTTGCTTATTTAATTTTCTTGACCTAATATTCTGTGTGGTTGCTGAGAAAATGGCGGAGAGGGAAAAAGCTTGCACTTTTCTAATCCGCAATGTCTGGAGTGATTAATTGCTTGTGATATAAATATTTAGTCGAAAGAAACATTTTTTTAATCAAGAAATTGTTTTGATTTTTCAGGTTTTGCATGCGTGTTATACAAAAGTGTTACCCTCAGCGGAAGTGGATAAACCTCAGCTTGTTGCGTGGTCAGAATCAGTGGCTGATTTGCTTGATTTAGATCCTAAAGAGTGAGTAATCTCGTTTGTTGTGATACCTAGAATACCAAAGTTATTATTCTGTTCAGTAATCGTAGTTCAAAAATAAAAAAAACAAAATTTATACGAAAGAAAGAACATAAGAGAGTGTTAGGTGAGTTTCATTGAGAATAGAAAAACATCATTTATCACTTGGCAGTACATTAATCTTACCATGATAGTTAATTAGTGACTTACACATGTATAATGGTGATGAATTGCTACAATCTTGAGAATATATTGAAGGAAGTAACTTTATTACTTACCGGTGAAATTAAAAAAGAAAGGTAGTTCACTTTTCATTTATGATTCAGGAAGGTTTCCATTTCATATTTTCTGGGTCGTTCTTCATGGAAGTAATAATAGTTGTGTTGGAGTTTCAGGTTTGAAAGGCCAGATTTTCCTCTTCTGTTCTCTGGTGCATCTCCTTTGGTGGGAGCGTAAGTATTAAACTCAAGCCTGCGTTACGAGACTTGAATTTTAGGCCCTTAGAGATTTTGTGCACAGTCTGGATTGAATGTTTGTTTTGCAGGGTCCCTTATGCCCAATGCTATGGAGGACATCAATTTGGTATGTGGGCTGGGCAGTTGGGAGATGGTCGGGCAATAACTCTTGGTGAGGTTATTAATTCTAAGTCCCAGAGATGGGAACTGCAGCTTAAAGGTGCCGGGAAGACTCCCTACAGTCGATTTGCCGATGGGCTCGCAGTGCTGCGCAGTAGCATTAGGGAGTTCCTTTGCAGTGAGGCAATGCATAGTCTTGGAATTCCAACAACTCGAGCTCTTTGTCTTGTGACAACAGGAAAATTTGTTACTCGAGATATGTTCTATGAGTATGTTCAGCAAACTTGGATTATTATGCTACTAGCACTTTACTGTCACCGCATGGTTTCCTTTTGTTGTGGAAACTTATTTTATTAATTCAAGTTAAAATAAAACATGAGTTAGCCCTTTTATTTATTTGAGAAGGTTCCTTTTTGATCTTCCAGTTAAATTTACTCTTTTTAGTTGGATTGGAGATTTCATAGTTTTGTGTTAATCCTAACAGACGAAACTGGGTATCATGAATTCCCAAGAATTGTATCCATTGAATAACTGGTTTTTCATATAATTTACTGAATTGACATACCTTTGTTTGTAGTGGGAACCCAAAGGATGAGCCTGGTGCAATTGTCTGCAGAGTTTCCCAATCCTTTCTGCGATTTGGTTCATACCAAATACATGCATCTAGAGGCAAAGAGGACCTTGGAATTGTTCGTGCTCTTGCAGACTATGCCATTAAGCATCACTTTCCTCATATTGAGAATATGGACAAAAGTGAAAGTTTATCTTTTAGCACAGGCGATGAAGATCATTCAGTCGTGGATCTGACTTCTAATAAGTATGCAGGTAATGCCTGTAGTTTGCTCTTGTGCTAGCGAGACATACTAACAACTCTAGTTTACATATTGGTTGAATTGTAAACTTTCACTTGTTATGTTGTTCAATATAGTTGCAGCTAGCGTTTTGGCTTTGGGAACAGACACAAGGTTTAGATTTTGTTATCTTAATATACCCTCTGAAATAACTGAAGAAATACTTCAGAATCAGAATTTTGAACTTCTTCATTACCTTATTCCTTCCGTTGTAATCTTGTACAGCTTGGGCCGTGGAGGTTGCTGAGCGTACTGCATCCTTGGTTGCTAGCTGGCAGGGGGTTGGTTTTACTCATGGTGTTTTGAACACTGATAACATGAGCATTTTGGGACTCACCATTGATTATGGTCCGTTTGGATTTTTGGACGCATTTGATCCAAGTTACACACCGAATACTACAGATCTTCCTGGCAGGAGATATTGTTTTGCAAATCAGCCTGACATAGGCTTGTGGAATATTGCACAGTTTGCCACAACTTTGTCTGCTGCTCAGTTGATAGATGATAAAGAGGCAAATTATGCCATGGAGAGGTAGTTTTTGTTTCTAGTTCTTTGTTCGTAAGAGAATTTGTTAGTTAGCATGTGCTTGATTTTTTTTTGCTCCTTGACTTGTTGCAGATATGGAACCAAATTTATGGACGAGTATCAAGCTATAATGACTAGAAAACTTGGTCTTCCTAAATACAATAAACAGTTGATCAGTAAACTCCTCAACAACATGGCTGTTGACAAAGTCGATTACACAAACTTCTTTCGGTTGTTGTCCAACATCAGAGCTGATCCCAGCATCCCGGAAGAGGAGCTGTTGATCCCACTTAAAGCTGTTCTGTTGGATATTGGGAAGGAGCGCAAAGAGGCGTGGATTGGATGGGTAAAATCCTACATAGAGGAGGTATGATAATAACATGCTTTTTGGTTCTTTGGCTACGTGCAAGCACACTTAAAACACATTTATACTGTAAATCCCCGTATATCAAAAATCTTGCACGGTAGATATTTAGCATTTTTCGATTAGCGATTCACTTCATAGTTTTCATACGGTCATCAAGGATTAGGACAAGGAGTTGCAATAATATCTAACCGCTGGTCCTCTCTATTTCACTTTGAAATAAAAAGGACTGTGACTAGTTATTGAATGTTTCATTTATCATGTCAAAGCGAATGAAAAGTAGCAGAAAAGCTGCTCTCTACTTTTAAGTTCATTTCTCTCAATTTCACTTGGTTTTTGCAGTTAGCGGCAAGTGGCATATCAGATGAAGAGAGGAAGGCCTCCATGAATGCAGTGAATCCCAAATACATTCTCAGGAATTATCTCTGCCAGAGTGCCATCGATGCTGCCGAACAAGGTGATTTTGGAGAGGTTCGGCGGCTGCTTAAAGTAGTGGAACGGCCGTTCGATGAGCAGCCGGGAATGGAAAAAAATGCTCGCTTGCCACCGGCTTGGGCATATAGACCAGGAGTCTGCATGCTTTCTTGTTCTTCATGAGTTGTTTATGTTTGTTCTCAGTTTTCACTGTCTTATTATAATTGCACCTTAAAAAAAATGTAGAACTGTTCAGCTATTTATTTTTTTAATTTATTTTTTTTCCTGGGTTAAAGAGCAACTTGCTATCCAAAAAAGATTGTTCTCAGTTTTCACTGTCTTATTATAATTGCACCTTAAAAAAAATGTAAAACTGTTCAGCTATTTATTTTTTTAATTTATTTTTTTTCCTGGGTTAAAGAGCAACTTGCTATCCAAAAAAGATAAAAAAAAAGGGTTATAAAGACTAATTTCTTGTATATAATAGTGAATTCCAGTTTCTCTTGCAATAAAAAGAGCTGAGGTTTGTATATACCCAGAGCCACCTGAGGTTTGTACTTCCGCCGTGTTCAACCGTTAGATTTTCTTCATGTTCTTATTATTTTTTATTTTTCAAAATCTTACAGATTTACATCATTTATCATGTGCAATCTTCAGTGCGAATCATCTGATTTGATTTCGCATTAATATCTATGTGAGTGTGCAGTCTTAAATGATAAACATTTAATTGGAGGTATCTCAAAGAATGATCTTTTGAATGTCATAAATTAATGTAAACGTCAGACGAATTAAATGGCCAGTAAATCGTTTTAATCTACATTATTTATTTTTGGTAAGATTCTTCCTTTCCCAACAGATACGCAAATAGTTCCAACTTCCAAGACCGACTACAAACCTTCTAAACAGAACTTGAAAAGAATGCAACTTTAAAAGGTCTGCAAATAAACAAAAGTTTCATCACAAAAATTGACAAATAAATAAATAAATGAATAAGAAAACAAGGAAACCAAATTTGGCACTCTTATCTACTATCTTCTACTTTTGGTTCTGGTCCTTTGAATCAGCACAAGACAAAAGCGCTTTTTTTTTTCCCAACCAAAATTGCACTTCTTCCACCCAATAAATAAACCTTAAAACCACTTTTATCCTCCAAAATCAATGCCGGATCTGCTTTCTAGCGCGAGTCAATGGTGCTTTCAGAGAGCTTTTGAGTTGTATAATTGTATATGTGTGGTGTTTCGACATCTCTAGGTAAGTGCATTTTGTTCCAAAGCTCTGAAATTTACAGTTTTTTTTTTTTTTTTTTGGATTGCAGAATTCCTGCTTAACGTCATTCAAGTTCCTTGTATGGTTCTCTTTCACGCCAGTTGGAAAAACATTTCAGAAAAGTTGTTCTTCAGAAAAGTTGAATTCCTGGTTTTGGTTAGTTGGCCATTAAATGTTTGTTGAAATGCCTATGTGAACGAGCTATGTTAATTAAATATCAACTACACGATACACAAAGTGTTGTTTGTTTTGTTTTGTTTTTTTTTTTGTTTTTTGTTTTTTGTTTTGTTTTGTTTTTGAATTACGTTAGTTCTTTTGTTTTGTTTTTAGTTATATGGCGGCCTTCAAAAGTTGGCACTATTTGAAGTTAGTAGCTCTAATGTGAATAATAGTAATGGTGAGAATGAATAAATCATGGGTGAGCCAATGGATGAATTACGTTAGTTCTTTTGTTTTGTTTTTAGTTATATGGCGGCCTTCAAAAGTTGCACTATTTGAAGTTAGTAGCTCTAATGTGAATAATAGTAATGGTGAGAATGAATAAATCATGGGTGAGCCAATGAATTTAGTGTATCACAATTTTAGTGTATATGCTTGTGCTTATCAATCTTTAATCCTAGTTTTTAAATTTCTGAATATGTGAACAATCATTTGATAGTTTGGTGGTCGGTGTCCATGTGACAAATTAAAAAAAAAAAAAAAAGGAATTCACGCATTTATTCTAATCAGGGGTACTGAATCTTTGTGCTGTGCTGTGCAGGGAATGAGAATTCCTCGAAATCTTGAGGTATGGAAAATGGGCATCGTCAACTATTTGGATGCACTTAAGTTGCAAGAAAATCTGGTAAATGCTAGAAAAGTTCACAAGATACCAGATACCCTTTTGTCCCTGCAACATCCACCAACGTATACTCTTGGAAAACGGAGGACCGACCACAATCTGTTAGTTCCCGAGCCCGACCTTAAAAATATAGGTGCTGAACTGCACTATACGCAGAGAGGAGGAGACATAACATTTCATGGTCCACATCAAGCCGTCTTGTATCCTATTATTTCTCTCCGTGATATTGGACTTGGTGCTCGGAATTATGTTGAGAAACTCGAATCTACTATGATTGAATTGGCGTCTTTGTATGATGTCAAAGCTCATGCTGGACGAACAGGTGAAACCGGGGTTTGGGTTGGAGATAGAAAGATTGGTGCAATTGGAGTTCGGATTTCGTATGCAATCACCTCTCATGGGCTGGCATTCAATATTGATCCAGATTTGAACTATTTTAAGCACATTGTACCATGTGGGATTGCAGATAAAGAAGTTACATCATTGAGAAAGGAGACAAACATGGCGCTTCCTGCAGAGGAAATAATTCAGGAGCAGTTGATTTCTTGTTTTGCAAGGCAATTTGGCTACGACAGCGTTTCATGGAAGGAGGGTGCTTCTATATTGTCTGCCGTCAGCGAAATTGAATGAGATAAATTTCTTAACTCTGTACTCTTTCTTTACTTTTATATCTGTTGAGATAATTTTTGTGTTAATTTATACATTTCACATGATTGAAAGTATTAAAAACTTTGGTGAGTTCATAGACTTGGAAGAAAGTCCAATCCAGTTTTGAAATGCTAGTGATTTATGTTGGAAAAGTTAATGTAAACATGTGGCAAGAAATCTTGGGAACTGCATGACAGTTAGATTATAGTGGCTTTCCAAGTTTGGGAGTTTGAAACTGTTTATGACTAAGATGATCATGCCTCAGTAGTCAGGATCATGAGATCAGTTTCTGTCATTGATCAGCATCTAGTCCACAATCTTCAAACAAGCATGGTTGACAGCAAAAAACCATGTTACCTAGTTTCAAGCTGCAGTGTTTGATCATGCATCCAAAGGGGTTTGAAGAAGTCAGCACCATTTCTTCTACATTAGTCTTGCTGGCGTAGACCACATGTTTTTCTAAAGGGAATCTTTTTATCCACATGTATTTTGAATCCAAGCTTAAAATAAAATAAAATAAAATAAAATAAAAAAGGCAAATTTAGTCAAATTTTGATGCAGCTTTCAGGAGTTCCTTGACCAGATCTTGTAATATATAAATTCTCTTCAAACCTCTAGAATCCATTTACTTCTACCAAGCAGATGAGCTCTTATTGTAAAGAATTGAGTTTTCCATCCCTAGTGAATTAAATAGAGTGACTAAATTATTGATGCAAATCACATAGTTTATTGAAGCAAATCCGTTTATTTTAGAAAATTATCATTCTATATTTCTTAAAGATTGCGGAAACGAGTTCAGGCAGGTTCATAAAGGAATCAAACTTAATTACAAGAAAATTTCCTCCAATACACACACACACACAAGAATAAAAGGGCTAATGGTGAAACACCTCAATGAAAGTGTATCTCCGTATATCAGAGGAATTTTTCTGAAGCAAGAAACCAGTTAAGTTTGATCATGGTAAAAGGTTATCCATTTGTCCAGTTAATTTGACTAATGTTGAAAATTAGAAGAAAAAAAAGATTTGCCAAAGGTAGTAGTTGATGAAAGGGGAATATGGCAGTTTCCTGGAATATGACGGGGATTAAAAGCAAGCCTACCCAGCCAAGTTTAGCTGTGTTTGTCAAACTGATCATACACAGAATACTATTTAGTTAAATTATACAAACAAGTACAGAAAAATGAGGTGACTAATTTGGTCTCATGTGATAAGTCACATGAGACATTATGTAAAATATTCAAAGTTTTCAGAGAAGTCAGGAAAATATGGTTCTTAATTTAACATCACATGATCCGCAGCTTCTAAGTTCTGTTCCAATGCAGAATCAGTATTACTAAGGCTGAGGATTTATTTAGAAATCTATTACGGCCACCTAATTGAGCAGTTGGAAAGTTTGTGAAGCCAGAGTACAGAATTTTCTGCCATTATTTTCCCAACATTCCTGTTCAGTTACTTTCCTTTATCTTACACTTACACACTTTGCCCCGCCAGTTTGTCAACCAGCCCTTGTAACAGTGCAACAAAACCACTGATACCCACTGATTGACTAAAGGATTCTTAGGCTATGATTTTGTCATGCAAAAACCAAGGTTTTTTTATTTTATTTTTTTTATTGAGTAATAAAGTAATTGTTTTATTTTTTTTTTATTTTCGAATAAAGTAATTGGGTATTTCTCTAGAAGACCTCCCTATCGGTAGAGTTAGTTACTGATTATTAGATTTAATCAAAATCATATCAGATTAAAAAGTTACGCAAAACATATAATTTCTAATACAAATCTGATGGTTGAAAACAAAGCCGTTGCGATGGCTATTTTTTCAGTAACAACTAGAGAAATTTTCTACTAATTTGCAAGTGAACTACCATTATGTGAATTTTGGAGGACCCACAAATTATTGAAACTCAAGTATTATCATGTGACAATTTTTGACTTAGTGGAAACATGTTTGTTATTTTAAAGTTTTGTTGAGTGACATCTATATATTATTACACTCTCTCTTAGGCTGCAACTTCATATAGCATGCATGCACCATCACCTTCTTTAGATAGAAAACTACATAAAGATATCTCTATTTCTCTTTCTTATTAAGCAAGCCACCGCCATGAAAACCAGTCAGAGAGCTTTGGTTGTCTTCTTTGCTATGATTCTCATGCAAACTTCTCTATGTTCTTCGCTAGCACCCTGTGAAGAGAGACAGGTTCATACACTGGATAGAAACCAACCCAGAAGATTGTTAGTCTCAGTTGCTTCATTTTCTGCCAAAGTGACCAGTAAAACTCTGGAAGATGCGCAGAGATCTGTAGAGACAAGTTTAAGGAAAGCCCCGCGCAGCAAATCGAACCCCATCCAGAACAAGTAAACATGTAAAACATCTATGTAGAGATCTCTAAAGGAAAGAGAGATAAATATATGTCATTCTCTTTCCAAATTTTTGCAGTTTCCTTACTTATTTTACTGTTGGATAGGCAGGAGAATCAGATCTCTATAATTTTTCTTTCTTGTTTTTCCCCATTTGCGCCATTTCTCCAATTATATTTTAGCTCGTATTCTAATAATTCTTTACTTCTAGAGTTAGATTCAGGAAAAACATAAGGAGGGAAATGTACTAAGAGGAATCTGTAAGAAGTTGATCTTAAATAGTAATCATTTCTTACATATTTATCTTTTTGGTAGTGCTTATTACCTAGTAAATGTATTTTTATTTATTTATTTATTTATTGAATCTAATTTTGCAAGTTGCTGCAAAATTTTAAAATACATGATAAGGCATTTCTGCCTTATGCCCCCAGATATGTGAATATGTGATTTTGTTGTGGTGATTGGTGAGACTTTGCAGAGTTGAACCAGATGAAAGAAAAAACACGTATTAAATCATTTAAGTAAAAGATTTGCTATCAAAATTTGACCTCCTTTTAAGTAGTAGGAATACTAAACCTTTACAGCTAAAATGTTTTGTCGATTCTTCTCTCTCGCTCTCAAAATATATTTTCTTCTAAATTACCATCCTTTCCCTCGTGCTATCCTTCAAGATTCATCATCTGTTTATGACTTCATATGAAGATCTACCATTTTCATGGTTTCATGGTTAATAACTCTTGTTCACCTCTTTATAATTTTCTGGCAGAGGAACTCTGTTATAATAACCAGATCAGTTGAATGAATACGTGATTTTAGTTTACTAGTTTGTTTGATGGTCAAGGGAGGGATCGTTATTTCTGCTTCTTTGACTACAGTTTCCCATATAGTCATATTCTATAAAACTCCTTTCTTTCTTGTTCAGATTTCAAAACATAATTTAGTAAAAAGTCTTTATATAAGGAGAGAAAAAAAAAAAAAACCTGCTTTGATTGCTTATATTTCTTGCTTAAAGGACAGTGCAGTACTATAATTTCAAAGTAAACAAATGAAATTCATGTAAAAAATAATTAACTGCTTATTTTAAAATCCATCTAATATATTCCTTCAGATACAAGGGGGTTTAGTATATTAATGTTTACTGTTTTAAAATCCATCTAATATATCGGATCTCGACTGTTTATGCCTTTCTAGTGTAGTCTTAATTTTCTTGCCTTTAAATAAGGCCAGAAATGTCGGCATTGTTAAGTTTTCTATGTCAAACTCAAGTCAAACCACGCAAATATATCCTTCAATATTTACTGTTCTCTTTGTTTCTTAACATTCTTTTCACAAGTTGTCTATAAAATATTCATTACTTACTTGGTCGTTCCCTATTCTTCTTTTTCTTTAATTCAACAATGACATCAGATAGTTTATTAATGGTTGCTCCTCTTCTTATTCCTTTGGCCTTTCTTTACGTTAACCTTACATACATAAAACCTTTTTCTGTCCTTTCTTGAAGTCTTCTGTGATCATGTTGTTCCTAGAACCATAACATGACCCTTTTCTTATTTTCATCTATATTAATCAAATTTTCAGCTTCTGGCTATGGCTTTATCACTTGGGATCATCCTCTTTGCCTTGTTTCTTCTTCTAACAACTTCTTCTTTAGCCCAAAATAACAACGGAAACATAACCATCGGAGCTTCTCTGTTTGCTAAAAAGGAGAACTCTTATTGAGTTTCTTCATCTGGTGATTTTGCCTTGGCTTCCGCCAAGCACAGAACCAATATGATCTCTTCTTGCTTTGCATTTGGTATGCAAAAATACTGGACAAAACCGTCGTTTGGTATGCGAACGGGGATCAACTAGCACCAAAAGACTCAAAAGTCAACCTCACTGCTAATCGCGGACTTGTGCTGACTAGTCCTCAAGGCAAGGAACTATGGAAATCAGAGACCATTCTTAGAGTTGTTGTCCATGCTTTTATGAGCAATGAAGGAAACTTTGTGCTCCAAGATAATAATTCAAACAACTGAAGGGAAACTTTCAAGAATCCGTGTTAACTTCTCAGGTGATGGACATGGGAGAGACTTTCTTTCTTCTCGTCAATCAGAGATAAACTATTCCAAAGGGAGATTCCAACTACGTTTGCAAAATGATGGGAATCTTGTCCTCGACACCGTGAATTTGCCAACAGACTACGCGAATGAGCCTTATTACAAAACCGCAGGGATTCAATTGGTTTTCAACGAGTCAGGCTACATGTATATTGTTGGAAAAAATGGTGAAAGGTTCAATCTGACAAAGGAAATGATGTTTTCTGCAAAGCAGCACAAAACACTGAATTTGCCAACAGACTACGCGAATGAGCCTTATTACAAACCCGCAGGCATACAATTGGCTTTCAACGAGTCAGGCTACGTGTAGGTTGTTGGAAAAAATGGTGAAAGGTTCAATCTGACAATGGAAAGGATGTTTTGTGCTGACTAGCCTCAAGGCAAGGAACTATGGAAATCAGAGACCATTCTTGGAGTTGTTGTCCACGCTTTTATGAGCAAAGAAAGAAACTTCATGCTCCAAGATAATAATTCAAACAACTTATGGGGAACTTTCAAGAATCCTACAGATACCGTGTTACCTTCTCAGGTGATGGACATGGGAGAGACTCTTTCTTTCTTCTTGTCAATCAGAGAAACTATTCCAAAGGGAGAGTCCAACTACGTTTGCAAAATGATGGGAGTCTTGTCCTCAACACCGTGAATTTGCCAACAGACTACGCGAATGAGCCTTATTTGTAATGACTGAGAAAATCCTAGAGCTTAAATAATACAATTTATGTATTTAAGCTAAGGATTTTCTTAGATAAATATTATGTGACTGAAAGATTTATAGAATTAATATATGTATTCCTAAATTCTGTAGCAGATTTCATGTTAAGTTGGCTAATGGTGAAACACCTCAATGAAAGTGTATCTCCGTATATCAGAGGAATTTTTCTGAAGCAAGAAACCAGTTAAGTTTGATCATGGTAAAAGGTTATCCATTTGTCCAGTTAATTTGACTAATGTTGAAAATTAGAAGAAAAAAAAGATTTGCCAAAGGTAGTAGTTGATGAAAGGGGAATATGGCAGTTTCCTGGAATATGACGGGGATTAAAAGCAAGCCTACCCAGCCAAGTTTAGCTGTGTTTGTCAAACTGATCATACACAGAATACTATTTAGTTAAATTATACAAACAAGTACAGAAAAATGAGGTGACTAATTTGGTCTCATGTGATAAGTCACATGAGACATTATGTAAAATATTCAAAGTTTTCAGAGAAGTCAGGAAAATATGGTTCTTAATTTAACATCACATGATCCGCAGCTTCTAAGTTCTGTTCCAATGCAGAATCAGTATTACTAAGGCTGAGGATTTATTTAGAAATCTATTACGGCCACCTAATTGAGCAGTTGGAAAGTTTGTGAAGCCAGAGTACAGAATTTTCTGCCATTATTTTCCCAACATTCCTGTTCAGTTACTTTCCTTTATCTTACACTTACACACTTTGCCCCGCCAGTTTGTCAACCAGCCCTTGTAACAGTGCAACAAAACCACTGATACCCACTGATTGACTAAAGGATTCTTAGGCTATGATTTTGTCATGCAAAAACCAAGGTTTTTTTTTTTATTTTTTTTTATTGAGTAATAAAGTAATTGTTTTATTTTTATTTTTTTTTTCGAATAAAGTAAT